GTTTGTTTGTTTTAAGCAAATTTTTTCATCATCATCATATGTAATTTACATAGCTATCAATCAGTAGATATAAAATATTTTTGGGCAATTGATTAGAATAATGAATGTGAATAAAAATGGTGGTGTAGAATACAGAATTAACATTTGTGTATGTGACATAACAAACACTTTTTTTTACATTGTGTGTGGGTGTTTTTCAAATCATCATCATCATCATCATCAAATTGTAATTAATAACAATGTTTGTCATATCATATCCGTTATCTTGTTATCGTTGACCAATGTGTGTGTTTGCATGCTACTCTATTTTGAAGAATAATTTGAAACTATTTAAAATACGATTAGCATGTATCACCATAAATGTATAACAGTAAACGTCATCAAATAGATTATTGTTAACAACAAGTATACAATTCGTATAATTATAACTTGATGTATACACACGTATATCATCATGATTATTATTATTTGTTTGTAAATACCATTTGGTTAAATGATGATTTTAATAATTAACCATTATACATATCATATTTATAGAAATGGGAGTTACAATCAAAAAAAATATATCGCATATTATTATTATTATTATTATTATAATGAACGAAGAACAAACATCATCGAAAATGGAGATTATTATTATTATTATTTGTCCACTTGTTCAAATAATGATAATAATTATCATCGAAAAAAAATTACTATTTATTTTAATGCTATTCACAATACTATTACAGACTTGATGAAAAAAAAATGAAATGTAAAAAATATCGATTCGATTTGAATACAATAAAATTCAAATGATTGAAAAATTGACATTGATTAATGTGCGAAATTCTAAATTCAAGAAAAAAATGATGATAATAATTTGAAAACATACATTTTAAACTAAAAAAAATAGATACAAAAAATAGATGAGAAAAAAATCAATTTATCAAAATTAAAATTTAAAAAAAAGGAGAAAAATTCAAAACTCTGGTATTTGGATTTATTTTTTTCAACAGCAAGAATTTTTTTAAACAGAAGAAAAAATATTTTCAACTTTCAAATAAATTATGTGGCCAACAAAACCCGTTAGAAACTCATTTACACATGAAATACACACATATGTAAATGTTTGCACATTTTAATTGAATAAACCCGATCGAAAGAAGATAGAGAAAAAGAGAAAAAAATGAAGAGAAACTAGAATCCAGGAATGAAAAGAAAAATGGGAAACTCTTTATCGTATTTGTGTGTGTGCGTAGGTCTTATCAGTAGAAATCAAGATTGAATTATCAGTTCCACATTTTTTTCCAATTTTCATTTTCATATTTTTTTGTATGTATGTCTGTCTATCTGTGAGTGTACAACGAGTTTTTTATGCATTCATATTTTCAAATATATCAACCAATTTCATATAATAATATCAAGTCAACGAGAATTTCCGAAACTGTCTATGATTTAGTAAAAGTGGCAACAAAAAAAAAGTTTAGTTATATTCATAATATTGTCGTACAATATAAACGTTTTTCTTATTTTGAATGAAAAGATGGAAAGATTTCAACCTCTAATATAAAAGTATGAGTTTGTTGAAAATAAAATTTTTTTTTCTTCTTTCATAAAAATTCGTTATTTTTTCTATCATTTTATAATCTTGGGAATATTTACTCAATGAAAAACGCTAGAATACGCGTTGAAAAGTAATTTCGGTTTAAAATGCGAATAAATTCAATGAAAATTCTATCGATGCAAATCTTGGTATTTTGCATGTTTTTCGAGAAAATCTATGTAGCAATCGATCTAATCGGTGAAATGGGAAAAATGAAAATTTTTATTTAGTGGTGAGTGAAAGAGATGTGCAAACAAAAAAACCGTACAAACATCAATGGATATACAATATATACTAATACCATGTCATGTTATGCAAGTAAACTAAACATCCTCATCATCATCATCATCATCGACTAAAATGGGATATGATGAAAATCATAAAAATGTTGTTTGCAAATGTACCGCGAGAATATATCGACATCCTTTTGCTCATCATCATCATCATTGGCCTATGGTTGGATTAAGTTTAGTAAGTTGGGCACCAACTGTGCCCAAATTTGATTGCAAAAGATGAGATTTGCATAGACAACATTTATATAATTGTGGTAAGAACTAGCCAAACCTAAATAATGATAGTGATGATGAATCTGCATTATATTTTTTTCTACTTTGGTTTGCTTTGCATTGCCAAAAAAAACAGAAGAGATGCTTAATGTAAATTTGTGTTATCTTTGTTTTGTTGCATCCATTTGCTAGGAAACAAAAAAATTCAAAGAAAAATGTAACCAAATGATAACGGATGTTTACATACACATACACACATATATAGATACATCACAAATCAAACTGATTGATTCTGACAATTCAATAAATCGATGGTATATATGGAATCATGAACCGAATTCATTCATTCATTATTAGACATGTTTTTCATCTGAATTGGACAAAAACAAAAAACAAAAACAAACAATAATTGATTCAGTTTGTTTTATGTTAATGTATTTTCATAAAATATCTTCTCAAACTACATGTTGTTTACATTCAATAATCATTATTTGAAATAGTTATGAACAAATGAAAACCAAAAAAAAAATTGGTCAATAATTTCGGTCAAATCAATCATCGGTACCAATCGTTAAAACATGATTCAGTTTAATTATTATTTTTTTCGTTAGTTACTTTATGTTTGCAAAGTTTTTTATGCTTACTTTTGTTACATACTAGCTGTACTGGCATAAACAAATAAACAAACAAAACTAAAGAAAATAGTAGATTGTATGAATTGGATAAAGTTGAAATCCGGGCAAATGTTTCCAATCATCGAAATGATGGACAGCATGTAATCTAACAAAACAACAACCATCACCACCACAATTACCACTGTTGTTGGTATTTGGGTATTAGTTATGAATATGCAGATTTCAAAAGAGAGAGAGAGAGATAGATGATCTAGCCTGCAACAACAGATGAAGTAAATCAAGATTAATTATTAATATAATAAGATGGGTAGGCAGTTGATGATGATGATGATGATAGTTGTTGTTTGGTGCTGTTAAAAAGAAAACAAAAAAGAAAAATCTTAACTTACCTGTCGAATTGAATAATGTTAGGTGCGGTGATTATGTTCAGAATGGAAGCTAGTTTCACAACAACAACAAAAAACCAGGACAAATGGACCGGATTTTGTTTGAAATAAAAACAAACTGATGATGATGGTCATGATGAGGCTATAGTAAGAAACAAAAACAAAAAACTTGGCCAAAAAGGATCAAACGATAATAAATCAATGATGAATATAATGAAGAATAAATGGAAAACAATTGACCAAGATATTGATCTTGAGTTTTGTTTTAGCCAATTTATTATCATTGTTTTTTTGTTCTCATGTTACAAGGAAATTAAAAAAAAGATGATAAGATCAACTTTACAAATACTTGAAAAAAATTCTTAAACCCAAATCAGATGTGAATTTTTTTGAAAAAATATTCTTTCCTTTCAAAAGTTTTTTTCATTTTGTGTAGTTGTCGTCGAAAAAAAAATACAATACAATTATACAATTGGACAGAATTTTGGAATCGGAAAAAAATTGATGATTGGAAAAATTGAAAGCATCTATTGAAATTACTAGTCTAATAATAACTACAATCGACTACGAATATCGATTTGAAAACAAAAAATAAAAGAAAAGATAATTACAATCAAATAGTGAATCGAAATGGTTGAAAATTATAATAAGAAGCCAATCGGAAGTGAAAAAGTAATGAACAAATACAGCAAATGCAAGTCACGTCATCGTTATATTAGTTTTGTTGTTAGCTACCTATTTGATCGATCAATTTATGTTTGGAATTAAAATCAGGAACAGAGAGATAGAGAAAAAAAGTTTGATCAGAATCTTATATCGAATTTGGATGTCTCTATCCATAAATAATGGTGATAGGGTGTTGTCATCGTTGGAATTTATTTGAAGAATGGAAACTAATGATCAAGATGAAGCAAAAAAAAATGAGTATCCTAAATACCAGAGGCCATACAATAATGATGGTAGCAGTGATCAGAATGTTGATTTTCATTTTATCAAATTTGAAAAAAAAAACAAAAAAAAAACGATACCTAAGGGACCATTGGATGGATAAGCTATTGATAATAAAATGAAAATTGTTAACCAAATCTATCAAGAGATGTCGCAATTCAACAACAAAAAAAAATTATATAATTGAATCCGGTATACTGCTACAACAGTTCATTTCGTATAAAATCTCAAAGCGAAGAGAAAATGGCGAACAATTCTCATTTTCTCATTTTGTTTTTGGTCCGATTCATTCTACTATCGATACCACTACGAGGAAATTATCGTCTGTATCCAAATAAGATCTACTTCTTTGCGAGTGCATGTCTGCATGGAACGATTTGGAAGTTAGTCGAAGAGCAACACTGATCGTGTTTAGTACTCCAATGATCCAGCTTGCCGCTAATTTCGAATTTCGATTTTTTTTTCAAAATCACCATTCATTCCTTCTGTTCAAGTCAATTAAATGAAATTGAATTGAAAATTCATCCAAATTCTATAATTATTGTTTATGGTGTATTCTCAATCATCATTGTGTCCATCTTAGGTCTTTATCACACATATTTGATGCGTGCTAAATTAGAAAAGTTTTCGTGTTTGATGTTGATGTTTATTTCGTAATTTGTTGTCATTGTTTGCATCCATATTCAATTCAAATGATGGGATGGTATTCATCCATCAAATAATGATTATGATGGTATTCGATTCGGTTAATTGAGTGAGGTGTTTATGTTTTTTTTGTGTAAATAAATGTGTTGTGTGTTTGTGTGTATCGGTTGATTCGATGATTTACATAAATAATCTTCTTTGATTCTTCATCACAATCTTCCATTCTGTTTTTTTTATAATTCGTATCGATTACATGGTTGTCATGATTCAAATCGAATTATTTCATTGTATTTTTTCTGAATGTAAATGTTTAGATTGACAATTTTTTCTTGAATATTTCCGTTTTTGAATTTTTTTTGATTTCATCCAAATACCAAAAATCATCATAATGACTGTTGAGATTGTTTCGAATTATATCGACAATGTACATAAGCCTATTGAATCTGATGAAACGTGCTCATTGCTTCATAGAGCCAAATCATCATCAACAACATCAAATATCCATCCAAATCAGCTATCATCAAATAAATTGGCCATCCATGGCGAGGTGACATGTGATTCATCATTTGATTCATACAATAAGACAACGGCAACTAAATATTCACCATCTCAACAAAATCTATTATTGTCATTTTCGCCATCATTCAATCCCATGTTGACAACTGGGCGTTCATCATTTGATCCAATCACTACAATCAAAAGTATCATCATGATGAAATTATCATCAACCACAACTAGTTCATCATCATCATCTTCATCGTCTTCCTCAATCACATCATCATCATCAACATTAGCCACACCTCATCATTTAATAGTGTTCCATAAAAATGTCATTATTCGTAAATCTATTCTAGCTCAAAAAAATGCCAAAATGCCCAAATCAACGATAACATTATCGATTTTATTGGTATTGTTAACATTGCTCACAAACATCATACAGTCATCATCAGCCAGACAAGGTATGTATTTTTTTCAAAATTCTTCAAGTTTTAAGTGAAAAGTGAAAAAAATATAAAATTTCCGTTTTAGTTGAAATCGTTTCATTGAAAAAAAAATAAGCTTAAATGATTGTGGTCATACATCCTTCTGTCAATTGTCCATTTTTATTTATATTATTTTTGTTCAATTTTCTTTTCTCACATACACATTCTGAAGATTGTCAGTTTATATTAAACACACATATGGACATCAGTTTGTTTCCTATGTTTTTGTTTGTGTGTTTCTGGATTCGGTCAATGACAAGATAACATAACGACAAAACCAATAAGTGGTTTGTTTTTTTTTTGTTGTTGTATGTATATTGTCGAAGATCATCATCCAACACCCGAAACAGACATCTGAAACATGCCCAAACATTGCCAAACATTTTTTTTTGTTGGACATAGACATGACCATTTCACATACATTCGTATTATATTCATTGTATAATTGTTAATACCATTATGGTTTCGTTATATTTTTTTTCGGTGGTTTTTTTTCAGATCATGTTGTCATCATTGGTCGTATAGTCATCATGATCATGATCATCATCATCAGTGTTGTCAGAATGTATATGATGTTTGCTATAACCGTTATAATAATAATCATCATTTGTTATAAATAAATCATTCAAATCACAGTATAAATAGTGACAGTATTCGTTTGTACTGACATACACAGGGTTTCCTATAATTTTTTGTATTTTATTTTATTTTTATTTCTTGGTTAATCAACTAACAACGACCAACGAAATGATATTGATGATGATGATTAAACTATTCAACTAAATCAACTATCATCATCATCTAAAAGATATTCGGAATATTGCAGAACTGAAACTAATTGTGTGTTCGTCGTTTCTTACAAACATACACACAAAAAAGCTTTCATTTTCTATTTTTTTTCTCTAGATTTCCTTAATAATTTTTTTTTTCATCTTCATATTGTATATTTTGTCTTGAAATGTAAAGATTGTTGTATTTGATATGTGTCACACACTTCTGTGTAAAGAATAGAATTGAAGAACGAAAAAAAACTTATGAAGAAGTGAATTAATTAAATCCATATGAACGACAACAACAACAATATGAAAAAGTCTGTTATGAAAACGAAATGAAATGATTCGTTAGTGATACATATTCTTCTTATTTCCATTATTATTACAAGTTTGATATATTGAGATACAATAATAATGATGATTGCAATGATACAATCACTGTTATTTTTTTCCTCTTGAAATGCAAAACTCTTTTAAATAGATGACAATTGTCACTTTTATAAAGATTGCGATGTTTTTTTTTTGATGAGAATCTAAGTTTTTATCATTAAAAAATATATATAATTAATGTTTTGTTTATGTACCGCCATTTTTAGATCATAATATTTTATTAATGAAAGATATGAAAGAAATGAAAATGATGAAATCAAAATTTTTTTTCTTTTGATGATTATGATGAGGACTTTTGGAATTTTTTTTTATTTGTTTGGTTGTTGTATTTTTTGATGATAATTTTTTTGTTGTAATGTTTGTTTTGACAATCTTGACGACGACAATGATGACAACTACACATTGTTTGATGATACTATGATATGGCTTGAGAAGGATTGTCATCGACTGATTGTCGGATTGTTTTTCTCTTCGTTATTGTTGTTGTTGTAAAAACAAAACTGAAAATTCTCTTATCATTTCTCATCATCAATCGTAAGAGAGGACAGAATGAAAATGATATTTCATTTTATTAGTCATACATAACGTAGAATATGATGGGAGAATTCGCTCTTTTTTTCCATTTGGAGTCATAATTAAAATTGTAACATTGGCATTCATCATCAAATATACTTGCTTTTTTCCACTGATTATTTCATTGAATAAAAACTTTATAAGACCTAAGGTCATTCGATAAGGATTGCTTGGTTTTCTTTTTTTAAAATCATTTTTCATGAACGATCAAGTTCATCATTGGTATGTGTGTGTGTGTTTGTGTATTCTTTACTGACAAAATAAATACTATGATGATGTTTAGTAATGAATGAATGATATCAGAAGAATGGGATGTTATTGTCTTTTAGATATGTGTGTGTTGTCCAAAATCTGCTAACGACAATGATGATGATGGCCATTTTTCGACTCATTGAACCGTTGAGCCGTGATCCATCTTCAATATGAAACAACAACTAAAAACATACAAATACAACGAATGAAATGATTTTCTTTTCTTTCATTCATTTTTTTAGTTGATTATTTCTCAAGCTGTTCTTGTATTTTTTTCTAGTCACTTTTTTTCTATCTATCCATTCGACTGTAATAAGATGAATGATCGGTTCATTGGTTGATGAACTAGTTGGCCATGTTTTAGTTTCATATTCTTGTTGTTTGTCAAAATGTTGGCGTCATGTAAATGGGTTTTTTTCCAAAAGATTCTCTTGTCACCAATTTCAATTTGACATTATCCAAAAAGTATTTGATTATTTGATTTTGATGATGATGTAAATGGTTTGCATTTGAATATAGACCATTTATACAAGAAAAAAAAATCAATCGGCTATAATATTTGACGGTTATATGCATATGAATTTTTTGTTCGCTCATTGTAGGATGCATTACCATTAGATTTTTTTGTTTGACGAAAATGGAATTTTTACTTTAAAATGAATAGTATAAATTTTCAGAAAGAATGAAAAAACAAACAAACAAACCTGTCATGTATGTGTTCTTTTTGTTATGGTTGTTGTTGTTGTTCCTATTGTGAATATCTATTCTATCTTGTTTGTAGTCAATTATTAGTAGAATAGTAATTTGCCCCTTGTCTTGTTCATTTTTTTTCTCAATTTCATATTCCATTTCATATGATGATGTATAATGTAATGTAGAATCTAGAGAAAAAAATGAGCCACTCATTGTTGTTGATCACAATGAATTGAATTTTTTTTTTTTTGAATTGAAATCAACTGTACAACGATAGAATGTATAGATCATCATCATCATCATCATCATTGTCGATCATGATCATAATGGTAAATAATTGGACAGTGGTGGTAGTAGTTTCAAATTGCAATCACCAGATTGTTTTTTTTCAGTCAGATTGACCGACAAGGTATCCTCTTTCTTTTCATTCATTCATTCATTCACATGGCCACTAACAAGACATGTCGAAATTTTTTTACATTACATTTTGGTCTCGTAGGTTCTCGGCTGGGTCTTTTATTATAACAATTTTTTTTCCAAAACATATCATAGGGGTTTCTGGTTGAACCATTCAAAACTTGTTCATTGCTCTTACTCTCTTTCTATCATTCTCATTGAATCATTAGAGCCTGTCATTTTTTATAATGCTGCTGCTATATCTAGTCTAGATCTAGTTTTTTTTGTAACTAATCAAACGTGGTTTTTTTTGGAGAAAAACTGAAATCCAAAACAACAAGTTTTGCATTCATTCATTCAATGAAGACTGTGAAAGCAAAATCGAAAGACCAATGAACACGTTTCAATACAATTTTTTTTGAAAAACCAAAATAATTTGGTCGATCGAATGAATTATGATGGCTACAACATGTTGATTTGACCGGTTGAAAAAACGAAAGAAAGAAAGAAAAAACTACCGAAACACCGAGAATTGAATTACATACACCAAATAACCTTTAGTTTGTTTTTCAATAACAAGGTGTATTCTACATAGTTTTCTGTATACACACATCATTCGACGATCCTTTTCTTTCTCTCTATTTCTCGTTAGCAGGGTTTGTAAACTATTTATTTTTCTGGTTGTTGTTGTTTCATCTTACAATTGTCCAAAATTGGTACCAATTTTATTATTTACGTTTACATTGAGGGTAAATATATATCATAACTTTAATTACACCTCGTTTAAAATTCGAAACCATTTGCCTTCACCACCACCATTATATTGGTTAACGAGGAAATTTTTTCTTGTTTTTTTTTTTGGAAAAAAATGACCAGAAAAAAGAAAAAGAAAAGCAGACGACGTCCGGTCGACGTTTTTCTGGCTGGTTGTCATCATAATCGTTTATTTTAATGTCTAGGTTTCGTTCAAAAATGAAAATATTTGTTTTAGCTTAAATTCTTTTTTCTCTTCTTATGATTTTTTCATTCCCTGTTAATTTCAATTTCGTGAAACATTCGTTTATTCATTGCTACCACTTTTTATGACTAACCAAATGAATGAATGAATAGATTGTTCGTTTTGACGAGCCTTGAATAATTGATTAAATGAAAGAATTTAACGTGACAATGATTATTATATTGACTAACTTATTTTTTTTGTTCCTAAAGACGTCATTTTCATTTTCATCAATGATAATCATCATTATTTGATGAAAAATAAAGACTTTGAATACATAGACACATATCAATTGTGTGTTCGTTAAAATGTTTGGCATTTTTAAATGATGGCTAATATCAATTCACGTCAATCACATTTGTTTGTAACTCATAAATACAATTGACGATGTTATTGTCAATTTTTTTTGTTAACTTTAATTTTGAAAATAACATCTGAGACATGTTCTTGTATTTGTGTTTGTTTATATATTAGATGTTTGTCGAATCATCGATCCAATGTGAATGTTTTTTCATGAGTTCATGAAGGAATATAACCTCAAGAATAAACTATTTGGCTGAATGAATCCTGTATCTAAAATGGCTTTAGATGGATTTTCTTTTCTTTCTGTTGTTGTTTTTTTTATCGGAACAATTGTCAGTGGCAATTTTTCATGTGTCGACAATAGCTGAATTCATTTTGATGATCATTGTTGTTGTTGTTTTTTTTGTGTGTATGTTTTTCGTTCCTAAAACCCGAAAAAAATTGTATTTATTGCTTTTACCAATTCATTTTGGTTCCGTTGTTTTCTCCTGCGTATTAACGTTCCAATTGAGTGATATTTTTTTCTGATGGTGACCAGAAATATATAACGAACGAAAACTAAAGTTTTGTGTTCCGAATAGTGAAAATAGAAATTGAAA